AGATCTTAATGATCCATGGTTAACATGATTTAATAAGGATAATACAGTACTGTACTTTTAATACAAACTATAATTTAAAATTACCGATTTTTTTTTATTAAGAAGATTAGGTATACACAGCAATGTGCTGCTACCCTATTCTATATGGAATATTACAGTGTAGATAAAAAAAAAATAGCTACAAGTTTATCTAATACTCCCATCTCACAGGATGATCAGACATACACGGAGTCAAGGTACAAAATACCAGCCTCAATACAAAAAACAAATCAACTCTGACTAAACTCTTCGCGATTTTCTCAAGAGGTAAGCACTGAATCATGGAAACATATTATAATTATTCTTACCAGTTTCTACAAGACTCCTCTCAAACAATGTATTTTTTAACATGTTTAGGTATACACAGCAATGTGCTGCTTCCCTATTCTGTATGAAGGACCACACAGTGTAGATTAAAAACCAGCTACAAGCTCATCCAACATCCTCACCTCACAGGATGGCCAGTCATACATGGAATCAGGAGAGAACAAAATACTTAATGCTGATCTATTAGCCTCCACTGGCAAAATCTGGGTGCAGCACAAGAACATCTTCCAATATTCCTGAGTGTATAAAGTAATTACAGAGCTCAAAGTACCTCATACCATTTGGTATGAAGTCACTGATAACAGGGCAATCACAGATATAGTGTTGGAGAGTATGTTCTCTCAAGTAGGACTGAAAACAAGTGGTTTTTTCCACCAAGAGGGTTATAAACCCATGGAACCGCTTACCCGCCGAAGCTGTAAATGCCAAATTCCAGCTAAAAAATATAATTAAGGCAATTGGCGGGCCTTTTAACAAGCCGCCGGTTTTCTGTCCTCTTCGAGGTCACTAGATAGTTAGTGGCCCTTGGGTAACTTCAGTAAATATATACAATAATTGTCAGCGCATCTTCCGAGCAACAAGGACAGCTACACAGTATCTTAGAATTACGTAGGTAAACAACAAATGTAACATTTGTTTACTACAATGTTAGTGCTGCCTGTAGAAGTTGAAAAAAAGTTTTACTTCGAAATATACTAATTTTATAAAAAAATCGACGTAAATAAGAGGCAGTAGAGCTCCGATAAGCCGTTGCTGCTCTGATTGGCCAAACGAAACAGTAGTGACCTCTATCGGCACGCAGGTGAACCAACAAATATCTTCCTAAGTGGACCTACCCGAATTGCACTTAAGCATCTTCTTAGGGCATACTTAGGAACCTTCGTAACAAACCTACTTACGAAGAAATACATGGAGCTTCGTGAATCTAGGTCCTAGATGTTACTACTGCTCGGCTTAGATGAGAAATAAATACCTGGACCTAGATTCACGAAGCTCCATGATGTATTTCTTCCTACGTTCAGCCTCAAGCAGATAACTTTCTAGATCTATCATTACGGCCAAGTTCTGATATGTAGTGGCAAGTCACTAAACTTACAGCCGAGCTCAAGATCAAACATGGCAATAAAAAAAAAGTTTTCCTATATCTAGACTTAATTAAAAAGTACACTACTAAAATCAGGTTGAAACCTTCGTATGTAGCCTAAGCAAACAATCATCTTATGCCTATCAACAATTTTGCTCTAAAAATTGTTGATAGGCAAAATGGTATAGATAACTATCAAATAATCACAAGAGTTCCAAAAAAAAAAAAAATGTAAATACCAACTAACATTTGTGCATTAACCTATCAGACCAATAAGAAATGTAAATAAAACGTCGGTTGAAAAAACAATAAACACCGTTGGAGTATTACCTGCAGGTCCACCTCCCACGTCACGTCCGCCGTCAACACTGTCTACTACACTACTGACGTCACCTGACCACAACCTGCCCTAAGTCACCTCTGTGTTCCAGAAACATCAAGAATGGCAACTGACCACATCACTCGTATGATGATAATCCAGCAACGTTGGTAAACTAATAGTTCTGCTGTTAAAACATAGATGGCGTGAGGACACATGGTAGTTTCCAATGGACTCACCTAGTTGTGCTTGCGGGGCTTGAGCTTCGGCTCTTTAGTCCCGTTTTCAACTGTTAAAATCAACTAGTGTACAAGTTCCTGATCCTATTGGGCTCTATCTAGTTGCCCGAAACGTTATGGGTGTTAGTGGCTTTGCAAGAATGTAAAAATATCACTAATGTAATCTCACCAACCCATTGTACCTTCTTGTAAATAAAATATTATTATTATTATCGTATCTACATTTGACGTGTATGGAGTCTGCCTCCACCACGTCACTTCCTAATGCATCTCATTTGTTAACTGTTCTGACACTGACAAAAATGTCTAATAACTCTGTGGTTCATTTGGGTTCTTAGTTTCCACCTGTGATCTTTTGTGAGAGTTCCACCTGTGCTAAATATTCTACCTTATCGATTCCTCTGAGAATATTTTGTAGTAATCATGTTTCTCTCTTAACGGATGCCTAGTTCAAAGTCTCTTGTTACACTCCTATATCTCTGAGATAATACCCGAGATAATAATAATTCCTGTTGGATAAGTCACCTCTGATCCAACAAAGAAGGCGGTCACCAATATTCATTCTCGCAAACTACCTCAAGATAACATGTGGGTTTGCAATATCAAAGGCAGACTTGAGATCCAGCAAGGTGGTATATATGTCTTGTCAGTGTGCAAGGTAAGAAAGGTGGTGATGCAATGATACTCATCACTCCTTCCATGCATGAAGCCATATATCTGGGGAGGGCATGGTTCTTATTCTATGGTTGAGGGGGGAGGGGGGGCTTAGGACCATTCACTCGAATGTTTTGCAAAAGCGACTAATAATGGAAATCGAGGCTAAAAGCATTGGGAACTAGAATGATTATACTGTTGGTCCAACAGATAGGATGTTCTCTCAAAAATAAAACTCACGCAGAACAAAAACTACGTCTTAGAAAATTCTCTTACGTCTGGCACGGAAGCAATCCCCCGGTATTTGCAAATTGAGTAACCAATCCTGTGTATAAAACTACCAGACAATTAACACCCCTTTTTTAACCAAGCCTATCTAAAAACTATAATTTAAATACCAATTCTCCAACATATAATCTCAACTCATTTAGGGTCTATCACACTAAAATACATACATAAGTGAAGGGTCCCTTCATCACCTGTATGTAAATAATTGCTATACGATCTGTGCAGGCAACCTGGAGTTTTATTATTTATTTATTTATTTATATACAAGAAGTTACATTGGGGTTAACAGAGAATATAGAAAATAAGTTGAATTAACATTCTTGTAAAGCCTAGCACGCATAGCATAGCATAGTCTTGCACTCATAGCATTTCGGACAAAGTTAGAGTTAGAGTTGAAGTGTAACTCACGTGTTCTAACGTTAGGGAGGTTTAGAGTTAACTAATATTAATGGAAGTAAACACTGAAGCGGTATTGTTCACTATCAACCTTCGTAATTTGCATGTATTTTTTTCTACTCCAATTCAATTCATGCTTTTATTCTTAATTAGTTTAAAAAACAAAAATCCCCGCAACGCTGTGCGTATTAGTGGCTTGAGGCATAGTATATACTAGCTATATCTAGACCTCCAACATTCTGCTTGTAATTTATTTTGTATGTATTTATTTTTTCCTAAATAAACATTATCATTATCGTAAGTGAACCCTTTTCCTCACTGTATATTAGACTGTTGGTAACTGATAGCACCATAAGTGATTCCATAGTCTGATGTTACTGATGGTTCTAGCACCATAAACGATTTCAGTCTGATGATTCTATAGCACCATTTGCATCAGTGCGACTCCTATAGCCTCGTACCACTTGGGCTGGACGGTAGCGCGACGGTCTCGCTTCGTGCAGTTCAATCCCCGACCACACGATGTACTGAACGGGGTGAGAATAGCTTGAGCTACCTCATCCCTTTGTGTGTATTTTACCTCAATAAACTTATTTCAATTTCAATTTCAATCCCCGACCCTCAAAGTGGTTGAGCACCCCCCCCCCCCCAGTCCCATCCCAAATCCTTATACTGACCCCTTCCAAGTGCTATATAGTCAGAATGGCTTGGCGCTCTCTCCTCATAATTCCCTCCCTACCTCGTATTCCTCCGTGGGAATTCTACATCCTGATGATAAGGTAGGATGCCCCTCATCCTGAGATATCCAATGTTTCTGATAATGAGGGCAGGGTTCTCATGATGTTAATGCAAGCAATATAGTGAATATCCAACGTCCTATTTTAGGCAGATCTTTCTCTCCCGTGCACAGTCAACATCCTGATTCAAGCAGGACTCTCCAGTGGATATCCAACATCCTGATTCAGGCAGGTCTTTCTCTAGTGGATATCCAACATCCTGATTCAGGCAGGTCTTTCTCTAGTGGATATCCAACATCCTGATTCAGGTAGGTCTCTCTCCTGTGGATATCCGACATCCTGATGACATTGCACACAGAGGAGTTATCTTCACAGTGATTGGAGGCTCTGATAGGGAAGGACCTATCAGAGGTCGATAGGTCCGGTTATGTTCTCCAGGCACACAAGAACATGATCCATCTGAATATATGATATTGCAAGCCATGGATAAGGTGGGATATGACTTGCAACCAGTGCATGGCAGACACATATGGGCAACACTTTAGTAGCAATAAATTGGTTCCTGGCAGTTTCTCAACAACCGAGGGTTACATTTTGAGGAAGGTCAGTCATTGGAAAAAGAAGACCTTGATAACAGGTTTCCTATTCCAACAAATAATTTTTATGACTAAATCCAAACCTGCAGGATTTTGAGATGGTAATAATTGTGAGTGTGCAACATTCATTCAACCCAGTCACATTTATGACCAGTTATAAAAATATTATTTTCTGTAAGCCATATATATTACACTGATTTCCAATCAGTTACACAATCAGCCTCTCGTCAACACCTCAATTTCAGGGAGGGTCATTTGACATGTATAGGAAATAGCATTAATATTTTTCATTCATATTTAATGTCAATTGAATATACTACAATTTCTTATAGAAGTTTATTAATAATAAAAACATTCAGTGGAATAAATAAGACTGAGAAACTATGACAAAAACAATAATAATAAACAAATCTGTACATGTCAATACACTTGTGTCCGCAGCTGCCTCACGTCACACCGTTGACTGGAGGTCAACTGTTGCACCGCTGACCACATCAAAGACATGACATGTCTGTCATGACATGTCTTCTAGATGCAGTTGTGTCTTGTAACAGCATGTGGCCAGTTGCAGATCTTGGAAACTGGGTCCCACAAAGTGCCCTGCTTGCAAGAGAACTCTAGCGGCTCCCCATGCACACACCAGAAGTACTGGTCAAGAAAGGGAAGTGAATATTATGGTATGAGCATGAGGAAGTATGCATACACACGTATCACACATTTAAGTCATACTTAGTAGGTAAGGTTAATTTTATCTAATAGCCAGACCATCACTTATTTAGAAAAATATCTGAAAATAATTGACAGCATTTATTACTACTTTATTTGGTCCTGGTTAAATAGATCAATGTTGGCTCAAGTTGGAAAATCCACATTATGGACATTAATATGACAACAGTATATCAGTGTAAGGTTACAGCAGCCTCACAACACGCCCATTAACTTCTGGGAGCATTAGTACACCTATCGATGCATTAGACGATAGGAAATGTGCCCAACCATTTCTGTTCCACCCAGTAGAGATTTTTATATATTCATGAATGTCTGTCAAAAGTTGGAGACCATGTCAAGTTTGCCCCAGACACTTGGGGCTAACCTCACCCAAATTTGCAGGGGAATGGTCTGGGGTATGGAACAGACATAGGCATACCCTAACCAGCTTTAAGAAACATTAACAATTATAAACTACCCCTAGACAATTTTTATGAAGTCGGGTGTGAAAAATGGCGTGTAATTCATGTAGTTTTTAATATAACTTCCGAGAGGGAAGAGAAGAAAAAGCACTGAGGCTGTCTGAGGCTGGAGGCCAGATGCATGGGGATAGCCTCATTAAATTTTGCAGGATTAATTGTGATTTGCAGGCGATGAGTCACAATAACGTGGCTAAAGTATGTTGACCAGACCACACACTAGAAGGTGAAGGGACGACGACGTTTCGATCCGTCCTGGACCATTCTCAGGTCGATTGTGTGGTCCGTCCTGGACCATTCTCACAATCGACTTGAGAATGGTCCAGGACGGACCGAAACGTCGTCGTCCCTTCACCTTCTAGTGTGTGGTTTGGTCAACTTAATTGTGATTTTATTGAGGGTGAAGGCGGGTGAGAGTGAGCCCAGTGCCTCTCTGAAGAGCGCCACAGGTACGTGGGTTATTAACCCATTGAACCAACTACCCGCCGAAGCCGTTAATGTCAAAACTCTGTTGGGTTTTAAAGTACAACTGGAAAAAAATCATGACGGCAAATGGGGGACCTTCGACAAGTCGCCGGCTTCCTGTCCTCGTCGAGGCCACTAGTGTTAGTGGCTCTCAGGTAAACTCAGAGTGAGAGCTTCAAATGCAGAAAATTTAATGGGATCATAGCCTGGTAAAATGTTGCCAGGAAGAAAACAATGATTACGTGTAAAATGCCCGAGACTATGCCATTTATAATAATTCCTGTGGTCGGGACAGGAAGCCCGTTTGTGTGTATATGGTTTTGGTTTGTATTGAGGCGCCCTCCCACAGTTGAACTACTGACCCTCCCACAGTTGAACTACTGACCCTCCCACAGTTGAACTACTGACCCTCCCACAGTTGAACTACTGACCCTCCCACAGTTGAACTACTGACCCTCCCACAGTTGAACTACTGACCCTCCCACAGTTGAACTACTGACCCTCCCACAGTTGAACTACTGACCCTCCCACAGTTGAACTACTGACCCTCCCACAGTTGAACTACTGACCCTCCCACAGTTGAACTACTGACCCTCCCACAGTTGAACTACTGACCCCTCCCACAGTTGAACTACTGACCCCTCCCACAGTTGAACTACTGACCCCTCCCACAGTTGAACTACTGACCCTCCCACAGTTGAACTACTGACCCTCCCACAGTTGAACTACTGACCCTCCCACAGTTGAACTACTGACCCTCCCACAGTTGAACTACTGACCCTCCCACAGTTGAACTACTGACCCCTCCCACAGTTGAACTACTGACCCTCCCACAGTTGAACTACTGACCCTCCCACAGTTGAACTACTGACCCTCCCACAGTTGAACTACTGACCCTCCCACAGTTGAACTACTGACCCTCCCACAGTTGAACTACTGACCCCTCCCACAGTTGAACTACTGACCCTCCCACAGTTGAACTACTGACCCCTCCCACAGTTGAACTACTGACCCTCCCACAGTTGAACTACTGACCCTCCCACAGTTGAACTACTGACCCCTCCCACAGTTGAACTACTGACCCCTCCCACAGTTGAACTACTGACCCTCCCACAGTTGAACTACTGACCCTCCCACAGTTGAACTACTGACCCTCCCACAGTTGAACTACTGACCCTCCCACAGTTGAACTACTGACCCTCCCAGCGATGCAACTTCACAACAGTTGCCTGACTCCCGGGAACCTATTTACTGCTAAATGAACAATCGCATTAGATGAACGAAAACGTATCCGGCCATTTGTCCCACCCGGGAATCGAACCCAAGATACCCGATTGTGGAGTAGAGAACGAAATAGTCTATGAGAAAGCTAAGAACTGAGCTCCTTCCTTCCAGTGACGTAGCCCCAAAATCTTGTCATAATTAGTTCTCTGTTTACAAATTGTCACGTGGATGCGCAACAGGAATTGTACGGAGAAAATGTGTACGACTTTGTCGAGGCCACTAGAGGGATAGTAGTTCGGTCTGAGAAGGTATAAGGAATAGGCTATAAAGGAAGTTGAGCAACCAAGTTCTTGCCTCCTTCCTAATGGGCTCACCATAGCCAGTGCTACTTGCAACTTTTTGTTCCAGGTAGCGAATCTACAACAACATAACAACAACAACAGCCTCCTTCCTATTGTGATGTCTGTGTTCCTATGATAACTATCTGCCACACAAAATATAAACCTTCTAGTAATTGGTTCTATATAGCCTTTAAAATCTAGGTCTTCTTGACAAGACAATTATATATCTTTGCTATAGAAAAGAAGTACGTTTGTGTTAAAATAAGGATATAGTTCAGTGGGCTCTTTAAAAATTCTATTTTGTTTACAAGAAATTAGAGAGAAGTTAGAAGCACAAGAAGCCAGTGCTCAATACTGTCTATAACAAAATGTGTTAATGTTACCTTATTACATTGCGGGTGAGGGAGATACTCTTGCGTATCACAGCTGGCACTCGTAGACCCACTTGGAGGAGGAGGAGGACGGGGAGGAGATGGTAGTGGTTGACTAACTGGTTCGCCGCTGATCTGCGGACCTCCTGGCAATACAGGTTTGTCGATCTCTGAAGGCACGAGTGGCAACGGGGTTGTGGAAGAGGTGGTGCCAGGCGACCACCAGGTGGGCTTCTGTGTGGTGGTGGTTGGAGGAGGAGTGGGCACCACATAGTTATTCATGTAAGTGTGCAGAACGTTAATGAGCGGATTCACAGTGCCGCAGAAGCCGTTGAAGTCATCCATGTCTATGGCCCAGGTCATAGCGCCGGCGTAGCCGTTGGAAATTATGAACTCCATCTTTATTTTGAGGCTGTCCGCGTCTTCATAGCCCACCCACTGGGTATCTGTTAACATTAGGTGAGAAGAATTAACTATCAGAGTTCTACATATCCTACCACTGACACTCTTTGATGCATACTAAATCCTACTTCAGAGACACCACACGACGACGATGCCAGAATTTTACATTCTCTTATTCTAATACCCATATTTTAGCAATAAGAATAACTAATTAGCCCGTAAATCATAGTACAGCGTGTGTAGGCGAGATTACACTTCTCACAGCTCTTGGCGAGATCATTTGATTTGTACGCCTCTCCATAGGACCTTATAGTATACAGATCTAATCATGCCTATGTCCTGCATGTGTATGGCATGTTCCTTATGGTGCGTACAGTGTCCTGCATGTGTATGGCATGTTCCTTATGGTGCGTACAGTTTGTGTGAAGGTTCCTCCTCCCGATGACTGCAAGTTCGCTTTACAACAAGCTCAACATGTAGCAAGACTCGTCCACATCAGCTCCAGACCTCCCTATAATAAGCCCAAACCATTGTTATTTGTATATTCAAAAATCAAACGAGTAAATTAATAGAGATTGCGATGAAAATAAATATATAGACAAGACAACAGCAGAACAAATGATGAAAAGGAAAGCCTAGACAACGCGGTTTGACAAGTAAATAATACATAGAATAGATTATAGTGATGAAGTTGAATGTCTCAGTTTGAAATGTAGTTATTATGTTGAACTCAAATACTGTTGCAATGTACCTACTATTACCTTCATTGTTTTAGCTTAATGACCTGCCCGAAACGCTGTGTCTTAGTTTAGAAAGAATGTGCTACACTCAAACCACAAATGTACGTACTTTCTCAACGCAATGTACGTTCTTGTGTATATAAGAACATTAAAACTTGAACCACGGAGCTTTAGAGAAGTATTGTGTTAGATGTTGCTGCGTTAATGCAATATTGCAAAGAACAATTCCCTTCACTGACCATAAGTTGGGTATGCGTTCAATTAACTTTATTGAACTTTCATTATAATAGTACAAGGATTGAAGTTGCATTTCCTGATAAAGTGATACTTAAAGACCAATTAGAGAACTGCACACAAGAGACCAGTAGCGGACACCTTAAGCTTAGTATTAAGCTACCAAACATTATACAATGTGTCGCATATCTCGGCTATCAATGTACAAACTTAGGTAGGCCTACTTATAGGTTCGAATTCTGTGCTTGCATGAATAACGATGACTAGTAATACTTGCCTTTAGCGGTGGACTCAAGACTAACCTTTATAAGCGTAGGGACACTTGCCAACATCATCGTAATCCTTGACCCAGCCCGAGGAAGGCTCATTAACCAGAGGACAGATCTGCAGCAGAAAATAGTCACGTCAGAGGAAAATTTATATCCACAATGGCAATAATTGAAACACTTGACAATAACTTTTTTAAGCATATGGAAATATTGTTAAACTACTTGTGGTGAGGTAAATCTAATTTGGGTCATGACAAGATTAAGAAAAACTGTGTCCCATTGGCTACAATAGCCAAGAGCAACGTCAATTCGTCATTATCAAAGTTTATTCTACGTCTAATCAACGACCTCCCACCACACTGTACACACACAACCCCCACCCACCACACTGTATACTGTACACACACAACCCCCACCCACCACACTGTACACTGTACACACACAACCTCCACCCACCACACTGTACACACACAACCCCACCCACCACACTGTACACACACAACCTCCACCCACCACACTGTACACACACAACCTCCACCCACCACACTGTACACACACAACCCCCACCCACCACACTGTACACTGTACACACAACCTCCACCCACCACACTGTACACACACAACCTCCACCCACCACACTGTACACTGTACACAACCTCCACCCACCACACTGTACACACACAACCTCCACCCACCACACTGTACACACACAACCTCCACCCACCACACTGTACACTGTACACACACAACCTCCACCCACCACACTGTACACTGTACACACACAACCTCCACCCACCACACTGTACACTGTACACACACAACCTCCACCCACCACACTGTACACACACAACCTCCACCCACCACACTGTACACTGTACACAACCTCCACCCACCACACTGTACACTGTACACACAACCTCCACCCACCACACTGTACACACACAACCCCCACCCACCACACTGTACACTGTACACAACCTCCACGCACCACACTGTACACACACAACCCCCACCCACCACACTGTACACTGTACACAACCTCCACCCACCACACTGTACACACACAACCCCCACCCACCACACTGTACACTGTACACAACCTCCACCCACCACACTGTACACACACAACCCCCACCCACCACATTGTACACTGTACACACACAACCTCCACCCACCACACTGTACACTGTACACACACAACCTCCACCCACCACACTGTACACACACAACCTCCACCCACCACACTGTACACTGTACACAACCTCCACCCACCACACTGTACACTGTACACACACAATCTCCACCCCACCACACTGTACACACACAACCTCCACCCACCACACTGTACACTGTACACAACCTCCACCCACCACACTGTACACACACAACCCCCACCCACCACACTGTACACTGTACACACACAACCTCCACCCACCACACTGTACACACACAACCTCCACCCACCACACTGTACACACACAACCCCCACCCACCACACTGTACACTGTACACACACAACCTCCACCCACCACACTGTACACACACAACCTCCACCCACCACACTGTACACTGTACACAACCTCCACCCACCACACTGTACACTGTACACACACAACCTCCACCCACCACACTGTACACACACAACCCCCACCCACCACACTGTACACTGTACACAACCTCCACCCACCACACTGTACACACACAACCCCCACCCACCACACTGTACACTGTACACAACCTCCACCCACCACACTGTACACACACAACCTCCACCCACCACACTGTACACACACAACCTCCACCCACCACACTGTACACACACAACCCCCACCCACCACACTGTACACTGTACACAACCTCCACCCACCACACTGTACACTGTACACAACCTCCACCCACCACACTGTACACACACAACCCCCACCCACCACACTGTACACTGTACACAACCTCCACCCACCACACTGTACACTGTACACAACCTCCACCCACCACACTGTACACACACAACCTCCACCCACCACACTGTCCACCCACCACACTGTACACACACAACCTCCACCCACCACACTGTACACACACAACCTCCACCCACCACACTGTACACACACAACCTCCACCCACCACACTGTACACTGTACACAACCTCCACCCACCACACTGTACACTGTACACACACAACCTCCACCCACCACACTGTACACACACAACCTCCACCCACCACACTGTACACTGTACACAACCTCCACCCACCACACTGTACACACACAACCTCCACCCACCACACTGTACACTGTACACACACAACCTCCACCCACCACACTGTACACACACAACCTCCACCCACCACACTGTACACAACCTCCACCCACCAACACAACCTCCACCCACCACACTGTACACACACAACCCCCACCCACCACACTGTACACTGTACACAACCTCCACCCACCACACTGTACACACACAACCCCCACCCACCACACTGTACACAACCTCCACCCACCACACTGTACACACACAACCTCCACCCACCACACTGTACACTGTACACATCCACACCACCTCCACCCACCACACTGTACACTGTACACACACAACCTCCACCCACCACACTGTACACACACAACCTCCACCCACCACACTGTACACACACAACCTCCACCCACCACACTGTACACACACAACCTCCACCCACCACACTGTACACTGTACACACACAACCTCCACCCACCACACTGTACACACACAACCTCCACCCACCACACTGTACACACACAACCTCCACCCACCACACTGTACACACACAACCTCCACCCACCTCACTGTACACTGTACACACACAACCCCACCCACCACACTGTACACTGTACACACACAACCCCCACCCACCACACTGTACACACACAACCCCACCCACCACACTGTACACTGTACACACACAACCTCCACCCACCACACTGTACACTCACAACCTCAACCCACCACACTGTACACTGTACACACACAACCCCCACCCACCACACTGTACACTGTACACACACAACCCCCACCCACCACACTGTACACTGTACACACACAACCTCCACCCACCACACTGTACACTGTACACACACAACCTCCACCCACCACACTGTACACTGTACACACACAACCTCCACCCACCACACTGTACACTGTACACACACAACCTCCACCCACCACACTGTACACACACAACCTCCACCCACCACACTGTACACACACAACCTCCACCCACCACACTGTACACTGTACACACACAACCTCCACCCACCACACTGTACACTGTACACACACAACCTCCACCCACCACACTGTACACACACAACCTCCACCCACCACACTGTACACACACAACCTCCACCCACCACACTGTACACTGTACACACACAACCCCCACCCACCACATTGTACACTGTACACACACAACCTCCACCCACCACACTGTACACACACAACCTCCACCCACCACACTGTACACACACAACCTCCACCCACCACACTGTACACACACAACCTCCACCCACCACACTGTACACTGTACACACACAACCCCCACCCACCACACTGTACACTGTACACACACAACCTCCACCTACCTCGTAGAAGGCCAGGAAGCCCTTGGCGCCGGTGAAGGGACCTGGGAGGCCGCCTCCTTCAAATTTCTTGATTGGTGCCCTGAGGCCGTGGTTGTCCTTGCTGCCGAGGGTGTAGGTCCTGCCGTAGAAGGGCACGCCCACCACCAGCTTGTCCTTGGGGCAGCCCATCGTCTCCCACAGCTTCATGCCGTCAGCCTGAGAATAAAGTAGGTAGTACGGTGTACTCGCCTAGTTGCGCTTGCGAGGGTTGAGCTTCATCTCTTTGGTCCCGCCTCTCAACCGTCAATGAACAATGTGTGTGTTTGTGCGTTCAACTATTTGTTGAAGCATTCTTTGATGGAGCCCTGTTATTTATGCATTGTTAATCGCCTGGAAAGAGACGTTGTCATGCCTATATACTGAGTTCTTTGGGGCTTACAGTCCTAAGTGGACATTTGAAGGCATAGACCATCAAATGTCCAAATAGACCTTCTGGCTGTCTTCTTCCAGCCCTCTTCACAGTAGACTGTGAAGAGGGCTGGAAGAAACATGGCAGGTGAAGGAGGAGAGAGTGGAGGCAGCAGTGAAGGAGGAGAGAGTGGAGGCAGCAGTGAAGGAGGAGAGAGTGGAGGCAGCAGTGAAGGAGGAGAGAGTGGAGGCAGCAGTGAAGGAGGAGAGAGAGTGGAGGCAGCAGTGAAGGAGGAGAGAGTGGAGGCAGCAGTGAAGGAGGAGAGAGAGTGGAGGCAGCAGTGAAGGAGGAGAGAGAGTGGAGGCAGCAGTGAAGGAGAGAGTGGAGGCAGCAGTGAAGGAGGAGAGAGTGGAGGCAGCAGTGAAGGAGGAGAGAGTGGAGGCAGCAGTGAAGGAGGAGAGAGAGTGGAGGCAGCAGTGAAGGAGGAGAGAGTGGAGGCAGCAGTGACTATGTAAGTACTCACCACATTGAGTTTCTCGTAAGCCCACTGGTCGAAGGGTCGCTGGAAGAGAGGAGAGTGGACGTCAGCAAACCCGGCCCAGTTGCCCCGCAGGTCATAGGTCATGGCGTGCACCGCGTCCACGTAACTGTGGCGGGGATAACATTGTCTTAAGACTGGGGGCGACGCCGGAGAAGAACGGTAAGGGCAAGTAAAGAGGAAGAGACACCGGAACCTAATAAGGAGGAAGAGGGGAAAGGTCCTAACAAATAGTGTACATGGGAAAGTAGTAACAAAGTAGATGCCTAGCAGTAAACAGCTACCTGAAAGTAGGCTAGCAGGTCCCTGGCGTAGGCTCGTCACTAATAAACTTGCAGGAAAATAGTAAAGGAGTCGGTAAACAAGAAGCAATTATCATAGATTCCTAGATGACGCCAAGTCTAATCTGACTCCCCAAGATTATTTAATGTTAACCAGTTATCAAGTATTAGATCACGTGTTAAATATCAAGTGCGAGGGTTATTTAACACAACACTGATGAGAACTGCCTGAATTTACCACGAAGCTGACCAAGGTATAGCGTGCTGAGGTTCTTGTACACGTGGGTCCTCACCCTGTGATACACAGCTCCTGGCTGTGGGGTCCTCACCCTGTGATACACAGCTCCTGGCTGTGGGGTCCTCACCCTATGATACACAGCTCCTGGCTGTGGGGTCCTCACCCTGTGATACACAGCTCCTGGCTGTGGGGTCCTCACCCTGTGATACACAGCTCCTGGCTGTGGGGTCCTCACCCTGTGATACACAGCTCCTGGCTGTGGGGTCCTCACCCTATGATACACAGCTCCTGGCTGTGGGGTCCTCACCCTGTGATACCCAGCTCCTGGCTGTGGGGTCCTCACCCTGTGATACCCAGCTCCTGGCTGTGAGGTCCTCACCCTGTGATACACAGCTCCTAGCTGTGGGGTCCTCACCCTGTGATACACAGCTCCTGGCTGTGGGGTCCTCACCCTGTGATACACAGCTCCTGGCTGTGGGGTCCTCACCCTGTGATACACAGCTCCTGGCTGTGGGGTCCTCACCCTGTGATACACAGCTCCTGGCTGTGGGGTCCTCACCCTATGGTACTCACTAACACAGCTCCTGGACGTGGTAACCCTCCCCTGTGGTACTCACTAACACAGCTCCTGGACGTGGTAACCCTCCCCTGTGGTACTCACTAACACAGCTCCTGGACGTGGTAACCCTCCCCTGTGGTACTCACTAACACAACTCTTGGACGTGGTAACCCACCCCTGTGGTACTCACTCACACAACTCTTGGACGTGGTAACCCTCCCCTGTGGTACTCACTAACACAGCTCCTGGACGTGGTAACCCTCCCCTGTGGTACTCACTAACACAGCTCCTGGACGTGGTAACCCTCCCCTGTGGTACTCACTAACACAGCTCCTGGACGTGGTAACCCTCCCCTGTGGTACTCACTAACACAGCTCCTGGACGTGGTAACCCTCCCCTGTGGTACTCACTCACACAGCTCCTGGACGTGGTAACCCTCCCCTGTGGTACTCACTCACACAGCTCCTGGATGTGGTAACCTTCCTGCAGTCTGAACTTGGCCACAGGCACAGCCATGGAGATCTCCCAGCCTTTTCCCTGTCGGTCGAAGGTTTCGCGCAGTTCCTTCACGAAGTCCCTGCAGAGAGCACACACATATTGTTCATTACTTGCATCAAATATACTCAAGAACATTTAATTCCACTTACACGTCCACCACACAACCATTACTGCTGCAGATAACCACACTAAAAGTCTCCGGTTGTTTTGACAACAAGACCAGGAATATCCATCTTTAAATGTAAACAAAAATTTCAACGTGACAAAACTTTGTAAACAAAACTTGCCTATAACTCACGATTTTATCGTAATTTTGGATTGGGGTAATCGTTGCGATTAAGAAATACTTCTCAATTTTAGAGAATAAGTTGAGGTCACAGCTGATTGTACCAAAGATTATCTAAATCATACCTGACAGGTTTGAATCGGTATTTATTGGGAAAGATGTTGATTAAGAAAGATTCTGGAAATTCTAGGACGTGGCTTAAATTTTTGTTTAAACTATTTATAAACTTTAATTGTTCTAAAACTTAATTAAATTGATTGCCAAAAATAAAACAAGTTTGTGGTTTACTCATTCTAAAGTTCAAAACAATTAAATTCTCATTTAACACACTTCTCGACGTGTGTTCTTTCCAAGTATGCGGAAAAACCACATGTGAAAAACAGATAATGCTAACGCGTTTTCGGCTCAATTCGCCTTCGTCAGAGCGAAACAGAATGCTTCAGTCTATTTCGCTCTGATGAAGGCGAATTGGGCCGAAAACGGCCCAACGATGATGAATGATCATCATTCATCATCATCATCATTCCTTCTGAAGATGTATCAATATACGAAAGTACTTAAGGAAATTCTTGTTTCAATATATATATATATATATATATATATATATATATATATATATATATATATATATATATATATATATATATATATATATATATATATATATATATATATTTATTTATTTATTTATATATATGTCGTACTTAGTAGCCAGAACGCACTTCTCAGCCTACTATGCAAGGCCCGATTTGTCTAATAAGCCAAGTTTTCATGAATTAATTGTTTTTCGACTACCTAACCTACCTAACCTAACCTAACTTTTTCGGCTACCTAACCTAACCTAACCTATAAAGATAGGTTAGGTTAGGTAGGGTTGGTTAGGTTCGGTCATATATCTACGTTAATTTTAACTCCAATAAAAAAAAATTGACCTCATACATAATGAAATGGGTAGCTTTATCATTTCATAAGAAAAAAATTTGAGAAAATATATTAATTCAGGAAAACTTGGCTTATTAGGCAAATCGGGCCTTGCATAGTAGGCCGAGAAGTGCGTTCTGGCTACTAGGTACGACATAATATTATATATATATATATATATATATATATATATATATATATATATATATATATATATATATATATATATATATATATATATATATATATATATAATGTTGAATTGCAAAGAGTTCAACAATCGCTGATCTGTTACATGCAAGATTGCCGTTGTCAAAAGCAGATAAAAAAAAACTCGCACACAAATACCATTAGTATAATCCAAACACTTGCACTCAACCCGAGGAAGAACTCCAAATGCTTTATCAGTCACTGGCAGCCCCTTGTTAGAGGCAGTGAGTGGGAGCCTCACCTGAAGGTGTCCTTGTCCTTGAAGGTGCCCCCACGGTCGGATGCCCCGGGGTACTCCCAGTCCAGGTCGAAGCCGTCAAAGCCATACCGGTTCATGTACTCTGTTCCGGGCAGACAAAGGCTACGAGTTATTACCTTCGCATGATAATACATAAATCAAAATCAGGGACCAGATTCACGAAGCAGTTACGCAAGTACAGGGGGCAGATTCACGAAGCAGTTACGCAAGTACAGGGGGCAGATTCACGAAGCAGTTACGCAAGTACTTACGAACGTGTACATCTTTCCTCAATCTTTGAAGATTTTGGTTACATTTATTAAACAGGTTTACAAGCATGAAAACTTGCCAATCAACTGTTATTGTTATAAACAGCCTCCTGGTGCTTCGGAGCTCATTAACTGTTTAATAATGGTAAACAAAGCCGCCAAAGATTGAGAAAAGATGTTCAGGTTCGTAAGTGCTTGCGTAATTTCTTCGTGAATCTAGCCCCTGGACTCTCAACGAAGTGTATATATAAACAAATGAAAAGGGTGAGGCAGAATCTTATCAATAGACTCTTCATTTGCATAAACATACTTGCAAGTATATTACTACAGAACACACACGCACACGGCAAACAGCACTCTGGAAAACACACACACACACACACACACACACACACACACACACACACACACACACACAGCATACACCACTCTGGAACACACACACAGTATACAACACTCTGGAACACACACACAGCATACACCACTCTGGAACACACACACAGTATACAACACTCTGGAACACACACACAGCATACACCACTCTGGAACACACACACACACACACATGACAAATAGCACTCCAGAACACGCACACACACGACAAAAACACAAGGGTGCAACTGATGGAATTACAATTATCAAGTGAAGTATACGAAAGAATTCCTGAACTGGGAAGACGGGATACAGTAAATATCCACCTGGATAAAATTCTCAGCTCAAGGGGGAGGGACCTTTGACTAGCCGCCGGCTTCCTGCCCCGGTTGACGCTACTAGAGAGAGATGGTAGCCCTCAGGTAAATTCAGGTACTTCGTGAATCTTTCCAGAAATTTGAAATCTGGGCAACGAAAGGCCAGAGTGTTGAAACTACACACACTGGAATAGATAAATCACAGAATAGATAACTTTGACTTAGAAAATACCGAGTTGCATAGAAAAAGGAGAAAAATATATATGTTCCAGGTACAGAGAAGCAGAACAAGAGGAAAAAGGTGGACACTGGAGGTGCGGGTGAACCGCGGGGACATGAGACATACACACTGAAGGTGCCAGCTGTAAACACTTGACCACCTCGTGCTCTACTGCAGTCCTCGAGGGAAATACTTTTCACAATTACCAGACAAGATATGATAAAAATCACAAAATTACGAGTTTTGTTGCTGCAGAAACTCGATTGTGAAGAAGCTCACCGAAGAATCACTCTTCCCTGCCCGTAAGGACTTTTGTGTACGAAAATACAGTGATATACCCAATGTGAGACCTCAGTGAAAGCCACATAGAAGCAGACGATGATTCAAGGGACATACACCGAGAGCTGTAGTCAGGTTCTCCGTGTATATTCAGTACATTGAATTAATTTAGTCTTGGACTATGTTCGGGCCTAAAGTATACTTCAACTCACAATGGTTTCACGACCAGCCGTGACTTAATAACCCTCCAGAGGTTGAAAGGTTGAAACCCCAACACCAGATCAAACAATGAGTGTTTATAGCCAAGCAGGAAGAGCAAGCGAGCACAGAACATGCAGAGAACAGAAGGGAGCCACAACAACAACTACAGGATAGAGAAGAATGAACACGTAGGAAACAAACGGAAAACAGAAGTAAACAATTAGGTAAAGGTAGGAACATACCTACGATACTACCGATGAGCGAGGCGCGTCTCTGTGGCACCCCAGACATCTGCGAGTACTTCTTCCCTCCCTCCCCCCACCCACCGATGGCCAACATGGACTTGACGCCGTTGGACTTGGCCAGGTTGGTGAAGTTCTTGAATCCGTTGTTAACCACGTCCGTCTGAAGACGGAAAACACAATACATGTACACAAGCAGTGAAAACACGTCACTGTGTAGCTGTCTCAGTTTACTTTACTATACTTATATACTAGTATAGTATAATTCATACTGGTATATAACCCAGACCATTTGACCTTCCAGGTGTGAGAAAGGTGAGAGTGGTGCCTACCTCTTCGTCCAGCACAAGGACCTCCCAGGTGACGTTGGAGACACCGACGAAGGAGTAGATGATGTGTGTGCACTTGTCGACGGGAATGTCCTTGATGCCATAGCTGCCCTGTCCCGGCCGGTGGATGGCCCAGTTGGAGAAGTAACACACTACTCGAGCTCTGCGGTCTGCTAGCGTCGCCCAGGACACTGCGGCCACCGCGCCCACCACCACCACGCCCAACCACCACGCCGCCCGCGTCATGCTGTAACACAACAGTAATTGTTAATTTGACTTCCGCAGTGAAGTCACAAAGAAAACAAAAACAGAAAAAAAATTAGAAATAAACTCAGCAAATGTTTCTGCAAATTAATGTTAGTGTTCAAAAAATACAAATTACATTAAAATTTCTCGCAATTTAGAAGTAAAATTATGGGAATCAACAATCAATAAATGTTCATAATATTGTGTGTTCGTATCTTATATTAGGACAGAGGTCTCTCTAAAGCTGGCAATATTATTGGTCATGTTGGGTGACACTTCCCCAAGGGTCAAACAGGCCCATCTTGGCCAAGCACAAGACCAAACCCACCATAGGTCTAACTACAGTACTAAATACCCAAAATAATAATATACTTTATGAAGAAACTTGCTACAGTGTTATGCTTCAATGAAGATAAAGGGAAAGACCCAATATATGTGTTAATTAAGTATTAACAATCAAATTTTGAGATGTAACCTACATCCTTTCTCAAGGTGCTGAACACAATGTTCTGATTTTGTATATATACATATGTACACTGTATGTACATCCTTGAGAAAGGATGTAGGTTACATCCGAAAATTTGTGTTTTTAATACACTTACACATACATGGGATCTTTCATTCACCTTCAATATAATTTATTGTATGTATAATGTAAGTTCCCCTCAGCCATAATGGAAACAGGAGATTGGTAAGTTGCAATGGGAGTATTAGCCCATAAGTGAGGTGCTTCACCTCATCCTTGGCTATATATATATGGCACCACAACAACTTGTAACCATTCGAACTTTACCTTTGATAATGTTAAGAGTTAACATCATAAAAAATATATTTCAAAACGCATTTCTTAGCATAAGACTAAATAAAATTGGCCCAGTAACTGGTATCCAACTGAGATTTTAAGCTTTCCCCGGAATGATCCAAGCCCTAGCCACTGCAATTTACATGACTAAGGCGTGGATCATGATTACCAACAAGAGACTGGAGATCTTGGAATACACGATTGTCTTACAACAATAATAATAAATAATATCTTGGCCCATGTAGAGGTAAAAAGTTCTCCGGATGCAGAGAACTATGCCTGTTAATCCCTACGTTCCAGCAGTCTTGCCTCACTGGATAATTTAGTTAGTGTTTAACACTTGATAACGTGACTCAGAGCTGCTATACTAAACCTCCACCCAGAAGATATCTCCTGGAGACTTTGTGAGAGAAGTGTATTCAAGAATAGCCACAAAATGTCTCACAAGCGGTGGGTATACTCTCTAAAATTGGATAATATGTTCCCCACTCTGTTCTCCTCTCATTATACTACGCGGTAATCTATCTCTATCTTACATATGGTATCTGTGCATGGGGGTTCAACCACTGCAAATTACCTCAAGCCCATCATCACTCAGCCAAAATCTACTATCAGAATTATAATAAACTCTGTCTTCAGACAACACACAGCCCCTCTGTTTACGTCCTATAACATGCTAAACATACATTCACTCCACACATTCTCATGTGCTATGTACATGTAGAAAACCTTGTTCCTAAATGCTAATCTTGATATAAGTCCTATCATATAAGTACCTATTGCTTTGTATCAATGTTATGTAATCTCACCAACCCATTGTATCTTCTTGTGAATAAAAATTATTATTGTTATTATTATTATTAATATAGTTCTGGCGGCGTGCGCTGTATTGGACGAGTCGTCAAAAGCTAAGCAGAGATACGTTTCTTTTGGCCCTCAACACCAGCCTGTCTGCGTCACACCGTCTGGCACCGTGGCACCCTTGTCCCATGGCCTGCCAGTGCCAACACAATCTGCCAACCCTGCCACGTCTCCCGCATTCATCCTCCCGCTCTCTCAGTGTTGGATGATCCGGATGAAGATGGATACAATGTCTGGTTAAGTCGAACAAGCACCCAGCCACTGTCAGGACCACGGGCCGCAGGCCTCCCGCCGCAAAGAAGGGGGTTGACGACTCCTGCTGGAACAGTGGTAGGTGGTCCTCCCACCCCATGGGGCCATGTTATCTGGGGTCTCGCTGGTAAGTTGGTTCCCTGTCGGGTCCTCGTCGCACTCGGCTTGTGTAACAAGGATGAAACAGGGATGTGAAGGATTAAATAACACTACCGCTATACGTGGATGTGAACTGAAGAGGCTTGTCTTTGGCACTACTAAACTATATTTTGTATACCGTTTATGTGACCCATTTGGCACCGAGAGCAAAAGAAAAGAACTTTTATTTGCGCTGAGCTTACTTTTGTTAACAATGTGTTCATATAACAAACTTTAGAGAACATGAACAAAATGTAACAAACGTTTCAAAATGTAAACTTTCGTGTCGGAGTTGAAGAGAAACCACTCTGAATATTGGACCCTGTGTCAAGACCCAGTAACACCCTGTGTCAAGACCCAGTAACACCCTGTGTCAAGACCCAGTAACACCCTGTGTCAAGACCCAGTAACACCCTGTGTCAAGACCCAGTAACACCCTGTGTCAAGACCCAGTAACACCCTGTGTCAAGACCCAGTAACACCCTGTGTCAAGACCCAGTAACACCCTGTGTCAAGACCCAGTAACACCCTGTGTCAAGACCCAGTAACACCCTGTGTCAAGACCCAGTAACACCCTGTGTCAAGACCCAGTAACATCCTGTGTCAAGACCCAGTAACACCCTGTGTCAAGACCCAGTAACACCCTGTGTCAAGACCCAGTAACACCCTGTGTCAAGACCCAGTAACACCCTGTGTCAAGACCCAGTAACACCCTGTGTCAAGGCTCAGTAACACCCTGTGTCAAGGCCCAGTAACACCCTGTGTCAAGGCCCAGTAACACCCTGTGTCAAGGCTCAGTAACACCCTGTGTCAAGGCGCAGTAACACCCTGTGTCAAGGCCCAGTAACACCCTGTGTCAAGGCCCAGTAACACCCTGTGTCAAGGCTCAGTAACACCCTGTGTCAAGGCCCAGTAACACCCTGTGTCAAGGCTCAGTAGCTCAGATCTTGTAGACGTACCTGACGACTCTAAACAATGGACTCACACCAACACACTCCGCTGTACAAACCGGGAAAAGTTTGAACATAATCACAGGCTACAAAAGTAGACAAGTTCCTTCACCAAACCCGCGGTTCACAGCCAACGAGTTAATTGTTGGGTTGTTTAGAATTAGTGTAAACACTGCAGTAGATGGCAATAAGCCTAAAGAAGTAACCTTATGTCTAATATTAGGCCACTTTAGGCCTTATTTAGTACATGTAAGCTATATTAGTCCTAGGAAAGTTTAGGTTCGGGTCTTGGCTTATTTTTACTTTTCATAGTACGGTGGAATCCCAGTACTTCATTCACCTCCACCAAGCCACCCCTACCTCCACCACGCCCCCCCTACCTCCACCACGCCCCCCACTACCTCCACCACGCCCCCCCTACCTCCACCACGCCCCCCACTACCTCCACCACGCCCCCCTACTACCTCCACCACGCCCCCCCCTACCTCCACCACGCGCCCCCCCCTACCTCCACCACGCCCCCCCCTACCTCCACCACGCCCCCCCCTACCTCCACCACGCCCCCCCCTACCTCCACCACGCCCCCCCCTACCTCCACCACGCCCCCCCCTACCTCCACCACGCCCCCCCCCTACCTCCACCACGCCCCCCCTACCTCCACCACGCCCCCCCCTACCTCCACCACGGCCCCCCCCTACCTCCACCACGCCCCCCCTACCTCCACCACGCCACCCCCCTACCTCCACCACGCCCCCCCCTACCTCCACCACGCGCCCCTCCCCTACCTCCACCACGCGCCCCCCCCTACCTCCACCACGCCCCCCCCTACCTCCACCACGCCCCCCCCCCTACCTCCTCCACGCCCCCCCTACCTCCACCACGCCCCCCCCCTACCTCCACCACGCCCCCCCCTACCTCCACCACGGCCCCCCCCTACCTCCACCACGGCCCCCCCCTACCTCCACCACGCCCCCCCCCCTACCTCCACCACGCCCCCCCCCTACCTCCTCCACGCCCCCCCTACCTCCACCACGCCCCCCCCTACCTCCACCACGCCCCCCCCTACCTCCACTACGGCCCCCCCCTACCTCCACTACGGCCCCCCCCTACCTCCACCACGCCCCCCCTACCTCCACCACGCCCCCCCCCTACCTCCACCACGCCCCCCCCTACCTCCACCACGCGCCCCCCCCCTACCTCCACCACGCGCCCCCCCCCTACCTCCACCACGCGCCCCCCCCTACCTCCACCACGCCCCCCCCCTACCTCCACCACGCCCCCCCCCTACCTCCTCCACGCCCCCCCTACCTCCACCTCCACCCCCCCCCCCTACCTCCACCACGCCCCCCCTACCTCCACCACGCCCCCCCCCCTACCTCCACCACGCGCCCCCCCTACCTCCACCACGCCCCCCCTACCTCCACCACGCCCCCCCCCTACCTCCACCAAGCCCCCCCCCCTACCTCCACCAAGCCCCCCCCCTACCTCCACCACGCCCCCCCCCTACCTCCACCACGCCACCCCCCTTACCTCCACCACGCCACCCCCCTTACCTCCACCACGCCCCCCCCTACCTCCACCACGCCACCCCCCTACCTCCACCACGCCACCCCCCCTCTACCTCCACCACGCCCCCCCCCCCTACCTCCACCACGCCCCCCCCTACCTCCACCACGCCCCACCCTACCTCCACCACGCCACCCCTTGACCTCCACCACGCCCCCCCCCCTACCTCCACCAAGCCACCCCCTACCTCCACCAAGCCACCCCTACCTCCACCAAGCCACCCCTACCTCCACCAAGCCACCAACACCCACAAACCCCCTCCTAACTCCCAATTCCCCCTCAACCCCCCCCCCTTCCTCCCTGGAGCCGGTTACAAGGGTCAGCAACCTACCACAGCAACCTTTGTTGTAAGTACAAGGTTGGTAGGTGGGTGGACCGGTTGTTGGCCCGTGACCAGGGTGACCATTGTGGCCAGGGTGACAGGGACCAGGGAATAGGGTGGCTAGAGTGACCAGGGACCGGGTGGCTCCAGGGGTCGCTCTCTGGACCTCAACTCGCTAACATTGGTTTATTTACCAATCAACCTGATCAACCAGGCTGTACCTCGTAGTACAGTTGGTTTCGTTATCGACTCTGCAATCGAGGATCCCGGATTTTATTCCCGGACAGGAGAGAAATGGTTGGGCATGTTCCATGAGGAGCTACAGTGGTCAGCAGGTCACCACGACTCTCCATAGAGGAGCTACAGTGGTCAGCAGGTCACCACGACTCTCCATAGAGGAGCTACAGTGGTCAGCAGGTCACCACGACTCTCCATAGAGGAGCTACAGTGGTCAGCAGGTCACCACGACTCTCCATAGAGGAGCTACAGTGGTCAGCAGGTCACCACGACTCTCCATAGTGGAGCTACAGTGGTCAGCAGGTCACCACGACTCTCCATAGTGGAGCTACAGTGGTCAGCAGGTCACCACGACTCACCATAGTGGAGCTACAGTGGTCAGCAGGTCACCACGACTCTCCATAGTGGAGCTACAGTAGTCAGCAGGTCACCACGACTCTCCATAGTGGAGCTACAGTGGTCAGCAGGTCACCACGACTCTCCATAGAGGAGCTACAGTGGTCAGCAGGTCACCACGACTCTCCATAGTGGAGCTACAGTGGTCAGCAGGTCACCACGACTCTCCACAGAGGAGCCTCAGTGGTCAGCAGGTCACCACGACTCTCCACAGAGGAGCCTCAGTGGTCAGCAGGTCACCACGACTCTCCACAGAGGAGCCTCAGTGGTCAGCAGGTCACCACGACTCTCCATAGAGGAGCTACAGTGGTCAGCAGGTCACCACGACTCTCCACAGAGGAGCCTCAGTGGTCAGCAGGTCACCACGACTCTCCACAGAGGAGCCTCAGTGGTCAGCAGGTCACCACGACTCTCCATAGAGGAGCCTCAGTGGTCAGCAGGTCACCACGACTCTCCATAGAGGAGCTACAGTAGTCAGCAGGTCACCACGACTCTCCACAGAGGAGCCTCAGTGGTCAGCAGGTCATAAAGACTCTCACTGGAGGTCCTGTTTGGTCCTGGAGGTCAAGGGAGTGAGAGGTTAACCGTCCCAAGAGTCCCGTTCCGCGTGTGTTTACTCTGAGGGTCTTGGGGGGGGGAGGGGGTAGGTGGCGGGATATTACTACTGAATGAGTGAAATCATCCTCACAGTTTCTCTCTATATTCTAAATATTATACTCCTCTACTTTTCAAATTTTGTTCTTCTCTTCCTAATATATGTACTCACCTAGATGTGCTTGCAGGGTCGAGCTAGGCTCCTAAAGCCTCGTCTTCCGAACATTTTTAATGTAATGACTCATTTCTCACGGTGTGTGTGTGTGTGTGTGTGCTTGTTTGTATGTCGAGCTGTTCTCGTAGACTAGCGTACAAGTGAGTGGGAATTCCTCGGTATTCGGTTGGGTTAATAAGGTCATTAATTGTCAAATCCCACAATGAGAGCATATGTTGTCTGGGTGCAGCCCGTCCTCATAAACAAAGGCCACATGCTCCTTAATTCAGCCGACAAACCCCCTCTGTTTATGTATGAAAACGGTTTACACACACACGACTTCAACCCGTCCTCGACTCAAGTCCATTACATCCAGCGGTCAACCCCACAGACGCATTCATAAATTTTAACATACTGTTCACTCAAAACGAGAATTTTCTCAAGTATAAATTTATATTATAATATATTAGCATATTGTGTATATATAGGCATAGGTTAGGTGTTTAGGTTCTGTTGGCGATTATTTGTATTTGTAGTACGTGGGTGAAGCATTTATAGCGTTGTGATTCGAACAAAATTCGTCAGTGAAGCACTTGTTCCGGATATGTTCGAATGTCAGCAGTTGTGAGTCGTGTGTAAACCGCTTTTCATTCATAAACAAGGGGTTTGGCGGGTGCATGGAATCACTTTTGGATCTTTGTTTGGAGGACGGGCTGCACGACTTACAACTGATAACGTTCGAATATAAATCGAACAATGATTCGTTGACGACTTTTTTTTCGAACCACAACGCTGCAGATGCTTCACCCAAGTACATTAAATACAAATACTCGCCAACAGAACCTAATAACTGACATAACCTACGCCTAATTTTCACATATAAATTTAATATATAAAATATTAACTTATACACGAGGACAAATCAATTTACCAATTTTGATACACTATTAAAATTTATGAATACGTCTGGGGGGGGGGGGGAAGGCCGTCGCTCTATCCAGCCAAGCCGGAGGACGGGTTGTTGGGTGACGGCCGAATTGTTGAAAATTACTTCGTATATAATCGAATTTATGCACATTTATTTATATTTGCATATAGAAGACGATGGCTTGGAGTCGGAATTACATATATTCTTCTTTTGATAACTACTTAGACTCCCAAATTGCAAATTCCTCTCAGCAATACTGTAGGCTACCCACTTGCCTCACCCTCCCAGTTATACACTACTGTAGGCTACCCACTTGCCTCACTCTCCCAGTTATACACTACTGTAGGCTACCCACTTGCCTCACTCTCCCAGTTATACACTACTGTAGGCTACCCACTTGCCTCACCCTCCCAGTTATACACTACTGTAGGCTACCCACTTGCCTCACTCTCCCAGTTATACACTACTGTAGGCTACCCACTTGCCTCACTCTCCCAGTTATACACTACTGTAGGCTACCCACTTGCCTCACCCTCCCAGTTATACACTACTGTAGGCTACCCACTTGCCTCACTCTCCCAGTTATACACTACTGTAGGCTACCCACTTGCCCCATCCTCCCAGCTATACACTAGGCTACCCACTTGCCTCATCCTCCCAGCTATACACTACTGTAGGCTACCCACTTGCCCCATCCTCCCAGCTATACACTAGGCTACCCATTCCAACTTTGATCATTAACAAAAGTCTATCTTCAGCCCGTTTATTGGTCAGGTGTACCAGGCACCTGGCTTATTGTAGTTAATATTCCAGTACGAAAGTTACTATTAAACTCACGTACTTTCAGGACCGTATTTGTCCTACTGCGAGTGCATGCAAATCCCACCAATAACGTATTCAGAACCCTGGGAAACTTTCAATATTGTCAATTAATGAGAATTGTTCTCATCGTGAACGCTAATATGTCGTTGCTTACCTGCAAACGTCTGTGTATCGGGGACCAGGAGGGGCCCTAGATATCCTCCGGAGGTCCTGGAGGAGTAACTAGCCAGGCGTCCGTCGGCAGTGAGGTCTGACGGAGGTGTGGAGGCAGGAGCTGCCACCAGGGAGCTCGCCCACCTCGGTCAAGGACCCCTCGCCCACCTCACCTGGTGGGCCCGAGGGGTGGGTGCACCAGGTGAAGGAGGTGGGTGACACCCCCGGTTGCTATTATGGTTGAGCGCGGTGGGGTTATCAGGGTGCTCAGGCGCCTAGAATGAAAAGTATATATTGATAATTAAAGTGCTTTAGGCAGCTATAGGCTTGTTACAAGGGGAGGTGACTGGTGTTGGGGAAGGTTGATGGTGGGGTATACTAAGGTCAGCTTTGGTGGTATGTGACAGTGGTGCCATGATGGTATTACTAGTGGTTATTGGCAACCATGATGGTAGGACAGTGGGTATAGAAGGGTAAATAAGGTTTTTTTTATTATTATTATTTTCTACCACAGACGTGGCCACACAGTTACAATGCTAACCAGCATACATACATTTTGTTCTGTCCTCCATGGACAGGGTTAGAGATGTGTTGAACATATAGTTCAAGGGTTCATTGAACAATCAACCGCAGAAGGTGATTCGGTGCTTTTAAAATGCTAAGCAAATAAGATATTGGGGCAACTGTGATGGTACAACAGTGAGTATAAGAGGGGTAACTGTGGTATTAGATCAAGATGATGTAATGCAGTGAGTATGAGGAAGGTAACTATCCTATTGTGCCAACTATAAGGGTAGGGCAGTAAATATGGTCGGATCTATGGTACTGGACCTACTATGATTGTTTTAATCCAGTCGTTCCAACATAAGGTTGGATCCAGTCAAACTAGCAGCGTCTCCTAGGAGAATGTGTGGAGGCTAGGACCTATCTCTGTCATCAAGGCGGCTAGGACCTATCCCAGGCATCAAGGTCACCCGGGAGACGGCTGGCCCCTTAGTAATGAAGTCCCTGATTACACCAGCCTACGAGGTCCCAACACACTTGAAGTCTTGTATCTTTTTCTTAAGATGAGTTGTTAAAGATACTTATTCTTAAATTAAGACGAGTAGATGAGTTGTGAAAGATGCTTAAGCTGAGAAGATTAAGATGCTTGCCTTATTTTGAGTAGATGGTTTGTCAAAGACGCTTATTAAGCTGAGTAAATGAGTTGTCAAAGAGGGATGTTAAAAGCTAAATTATATGTTAGTAGTATGTGAGTATTTCTTAAAGTGTTTGAATTGCTGGTTTGGAAACATAGTTGTTGATTTATGGAACAAATTACCGGGTAACATCGCAGTATTGATTCAAGTGAAACTTAAGACATACATACGAATGGGTTTAGGTAGATATAAAAAGGAGTTGCCCCATATGAGTCAATTGTTCTTCTGCAGTTACCTATACTCTTGTCATCCACTGAAGGATCACTACCACAGGCAGCAATCCTTAGGGTCATCGGATTGCAAGACAAATTAGTGTTGATGACTGGATAACTCGCCCCACTGCATAACGACAACATTCTACAGTGAATTACGGTTTAGATGGAGCAAGTAGTATTCATACCTGGAATAAAGTGCGATAGCCTAAGCTACTCTATCCTTTTGTGATGCATCTTATTGTCTCAATAAATGTACTTGAACATGAATAAAGTGTAAGAGTTCAAGTTCAAACATCCAGTTTGTACAAGTCTGTGTTGGTCTGTGTCACGAGCTGTTCCAGCACCCAGTGTTTAGGTGTAGAGGGGAGAAATAGCCTAGGGTACTCTATCATTTTGAGATGTATCTTATAGTCTCAATAAACGAACTTGATCTTGAATTGTTTAGGTCCCTGTTGTTGGGACCTGCATGACAGTCATTATATATATCAGGTGTGGTCTTAACTAACGTATCCACAATTGTTGGTTGGCCTTCACAAGCAGGTGACGAGAAACAATTCAAATCAAAATTTTATCAACTCCCAGTTTCCTCTCTCTTAGGCCTACCAGACCCCCAAAATCGACCCCTTCCGACCCCCTCCATGCTTATATGAGCTATTACTGACCAACCCCACAACACCTCTTACCTCATATGCCCCAACCCCCACTACCCACCCATGATCACATTAATGTGAAGTATCAATGAGAAAATCAGTGGGAGTCATGGGGAGGATTCGAACCTATGCTGTGTGTACTCCCAAGGATAGGTTCGAATCCTTCTCATGGCTTCTACTGATTTTCTTGTGTAAGTGTATTGATTAATATTTCCCTTGATTCAATATTCTAACATAAATAATAAGATACCGAACCTTTCCTTTCTTTATTGTAACTTAAGTCATTTCAACTTTTGATGTAACTAGCGATAATTACGAAGTCACTTCAAGGAGCAGATCCGGGTGTCCAATAGCCCGTGCTAATTAGAGGAGATAATTAGTTACGTTTGTAATTGAATTTAAGTGAAGTAAAGTGTCAAGTATCAAGGCAGTATAAGTGCGTTACAGTTTTACAAGTTGATACCACGCCCACTACAGTAGTTGATGCCCCGCCCACTACAGTAGTTGATGCCCCGCCCACTACAGTAGTTGATGCCACGCCCACTACAGTACTTGATGCCTCGCCCACTACAGTACTTGATGCCCCGCCCACTACAGTAGTTGATGCCCCGCCCACTACAGTACTTGATGCCTCGCCCACTACAGTACTTGATGCCCCGCCCACTACAGTACTTGATGCCACGCCCACTACAGTAGTTGATGCCCCGCCCACTACAGTAGTTGATGCCCCGCCCACTACAGTAGTTGATGCCTCGCCCACTACAGTAGTTGATGCCCCGCCCACTACAGTAGTTGATGCCCCGCCCACTACAGTAGTTGATGCCCCGCCCACTACAGTACTTGATGCCACGCCCACTACAGTACTTGATGCCTCGCCCACTACAGTACTTGATGCCCCGCCCACTACAGTAGTTGATGCCCCGCCCACTACAGTACTTGATGCCGCGCCCACTACAGTACTTGATGCCCCGCCCACTACAGTACTTGATGCCACGCCCACTACAGTAGTTGATGCCCCGCCCACTACAGTAGTTGATGCCACGCCCACTACAGTAGTTGATGCCTCGCCCACTACAGTAGTTGATGCCCCGCCCACTACAGTAGTTGATGCCCCGCCCACTACAGTAGTTGATGCCCCGCCCACTACAGTACTTGATGCCCCGCCCACTACAGTAGTTGATGCCCCGCCCACTACAGTAGTTGATGCCACGCCCACTACAGTAGTTGATGCCACGCCCACTACAGTAGTTGATGCCTCGCCCACTACAGTAGTTGATGCCTCGCCCACTACAGTAGTTGATGCCCCGCCCACTACAGTAGTTGATGCCCCGCCCACTACAGTACTTGATGCCCCGCCCACTACAGTACTTGATGTCACGCCCACTACAGTACTTGATGCCACGCCCACTACAGTACTTGATGTCACGCCCACTACAGTAGTTGATGCCCCGCCCACTACAGTACTTGATGCCCCGCCCACTACAGTACTTGATGCCACGCCCACTACAGTAGTTGATGCCCCGCCCACTACAGTACTTGATGCCCCGCCCACTACAGTACTTGATGCCTCGCCCACTACAGTAGTTGATGCCACGCCCACTACAGTAGTTGATGCCACGCCCACTACAGTAGTTGATGCCACGCCCATTGCAATAGTTGGTATGACACGCCCATTACCAGCTCTTGTCCCAGCACACAGCTTCTCGTGTGACTGGTGGTTCCTTAGGACTCAACAACAGGTAATGACGAGGGAGAGGTTGGTGTTCTAAGAGATGGAGTTATCTTGAGACTGTTGACTGAAAAACTTCACTCTGGTGATCAGGGTTATCTAAAGACCTTTTTATTCTCTCAGCTGGAACATGGTAGCTTTTATCTCAGTTATACCCTATACGGTGACGGGATGAGGCTTCCACGTCACCCTATACGGTGACGGGATGAGGCTTCCACGTCACCCTATACGGTGACGGGATGAGGCTTCCACGTCACCCTATACGGTGACGGGATGAGGCTTCCACGTCACCCTATACGGTGGTGGGATGAGGCTTCCACGTCACCCTATACGGTGGTGGGATGAGGCTTCCACGTCACCCTATACGGTGGTGGGATGAGGCTTCCACATCACCCAATACGGTGGTGGGATGAGGCTTCCACGTCACCCTATACGGTGACGGGATGAGGCTTCCACGTCACCCTATACGGTGGTGGGATGAGGCTTCCACGTCACCCTATACGGTGACGGGATGAGGCTTCCACGTTACCCTATACGGTGACGGGATGAGGCTTCCACGTCACCCTATACGGTGACGGAATGAGGCTTCCACGTCACCTTATACGGTGACGGGATGAGGCTTCCACGTCACCCTATACGGTGACGGAATGAGGCTTCCACGTCACCCTATACGGTGACGGGATGAGGCTTCCACGTCACCCTATACGGTGACGGAATGAGGCTTCCACGTCACCCTATACGGTGGTGGGATGAGGCTTCCACGTCACCCTATACGGTGGTGGGATGAGGCTTCCACGTCACCCTATACGGTGGTGGGATGAGGCTTCCACGTCACCCTATACGGTGGTGGGATGAGGCTTCCATATCACCCTATACGTTGGTGGGATGAGGCTTCCACATCACCCTATACGGTGGTGGGATGAGGCTTCCACATCACCCTATACGGTGGTGGGATGAGGCTTCCACATCACCCAATACGGTGGTGGGATGAGGCTTCCACGTCACCCTATACGGTGGTGGGATGAGGCTTCCACGTCACCCTATACGGTGGTGGGATGAGGCTTCCACGTCACCCTATACGGTGGTGGGATGAGGCTTCCACATCACCCAATACGGTGGTGGGATGAGGCTTCCACGTCATTTTATTTATATTATAATAAAATAAAATAAATGAAATAAAATACATAATAAAATCTTAGGGGGACGGGCTGATATCACACTGATGTTGGTTGGTAGAGCCACGAAGCTGTTCTGAACGGTGTCTTGAAGTACAGATTATTATGGACCACTGAGGAGAGGGTGGAAACGTCCTCACACTGACAGATAGTGAATGGGTTCGAGATCCAGCTTTAATGGTGGATATCACAGATCGCCCGAATTATCTACAATAAATGATGCAATAGAGTATAATACAATAAATAAATATAGCTGCAATAAATTAATAGTAGAATATAATGACTGTAGTCTTGCCGTTGTGATGAAAAATCACATTTCTTTTGAAAGGTAATTTGCAGAGTTATCTGTCACACTTTTCAGCAATGAAATCCTTGCAAGATAAACCAGTTTTCATAATAATAATAATAATGGTTTATGGTGTCACTCGCACAGAAAAGTACTACGGCATGATTTATAAATTAAGGGTTGAGTGTCATGAAGGATTTATTACCTTCAAATACCTGAAACCTTTGGAAGCTATTCTCTATCTGTGATACTGAAGCACTATGAGGCTTCAGCTGGAAATATTTGAGATACAATGTCATTCTATTTTGAGGGAAAGTTTTCGAATGTTGACGTTGATATATTTTATCAAATGATCTGATCTGAGAACAAATTTACCTGAGGGCCACTAGCGCTAGTGGCCTCGACGAGGACTGGAAGCCGGCGGCTTGTCGAAGGTCGCCCCATTTGTCTTGATCTTTTCTAGTTGGACAAAATTAACCCAGGATCCAGGGTTTGGCCTTAATGATCATATCTGTGTTTAGGAACACGTCGTAAGAGCTGTAATGAACACTGAAAGCTCTCACCTTCGTTCTCAACTTTCTGATACAATACTCAAGGATGCTGGAGCTGTCAGTCAGTTGCACTAAACTTTGATGCACTGTGCCAGATAACTGGCACACAGTGCCAATTGTAAGTGTCACAGCACACCAGTACCAGCCAACAAATGTCATTATTATTATTATTATTATTATTATTATTAGTAGTAGTAGTAGTAGTATTGAGAAAATCAATTGTAGCAATGTGGGGATTCGAACCCTTGACCCTGGTACTCCCAAGTCTCCCACCTTACCCATGAACCACAACATGGTATAAGTTATACAATCTTGAACGTCTGGAGGCCCCAGCAGCCAATGAGGGCACTACATATAACCCTGATATAGTAACCCCATACATTCTGATATAGTAACGGAGCTCTCTAACAAAACTCCAGCTTCATATACACCAGGAAATCACACTAACGAGATATATCAACAAGAGACTCCACTTGACACACACACCAAGAGCCACCCATCTCCTCACTCTGGACGAAGGTGTTGTTTCAGCAGCCAACAGGAGAACTGATGACCTTGTCTGACCTTTGTAGTGTCCTGAGGGGCGCTCCTAGACACACTTTGCCACGCCTATCATGCTCAAGAACCAGTTTTTCCTTTCCGTCCTCCACCTGAGTATAGAATATCTCCTCTATTAACAACTCATTACACATTTTATTATTCATAAAGTTCATATCACTCGCTACACCCAATTAACTCACACTTTAGGACTTAACAAGAGAGCACGAGTGTATTACTGGCCACGTCCGGTGGCCGAGGTTAGGCTCGGCCATAGCCAGGTGAGGCCGAGGAAGGTGAACCGCAAAGTCAAACAGGTTCACTCACTCCACCACAGGTGAGTGACCTGCCTGCCTCAGCGTCCCGGCGCCACAACTGGAATTCTGAGTTTGAGGAGGAGTGGAGGTGATGGCCGCGCGGCCAGCAGCAGAGGACGGGCCAGCTGTGGTGTGGACACAAGACTTGGGTGAACGGCCTCCGTGCGTTGGTAACTGGTTCACTCTACTCCTGCCCCTCCCTGTACCCTTCTGCCCCTCCCAGTACCTTCCTGTACCCTCCTGCCCCTCCCTGTACCTTCCTGCCCCTCCCTGTACCTTCCTGCCCCTCCCTGTACCTTCCTGCCCCTCCCAGTACCCTCCTGCCCCTCCCAGTACCCTCCTGCCCCTCCCAGTACCCTCCTGCCCCTCCCTGTACCCTCCTGCCCCTCCCAGTACCTGCCTGCCCCTCCCTGTACCCTGCTGCCCCTCCCAGTACCCTCCTGCCCCTCCCTGTACCCTCCTGCCCCTCCCAGTACCCTCCTGCCCCTCCCAGTACCCTCCTGCCCCTCCCAGTACCCTCCTGCCCCTCCCAGTACCCTCCTGCCCCTCCCTGTACCCTCCTGCCCCTCCCAGTACCTGCCTGCCCCTCCCTGTACCCTGCTGCCCCTCCCAGTACCCTCCTGCCCCTCCCTGTACCCTTCTACCCCTCCAAGTACCTTCCTGCCCCTCCCAGTACCTTCCTGCCCCTCCCAGTACCCTCCTGCCCCTCCCAGTACCCTCCTGCCCCTCCCTGTACCCTCCTGCCCCTCCCAGTACCCGCCTGCCCCTCCCAGTACCCTCCTGCCCCTCCCAGTACCCTCCTGCCCCTCCCAGTACCCTCCTGCCCCTCCCAGTACCTTCCTGCCCCTCCCAGTACCTGCCTGCCCCTCCCTGTACCCTGCTGCCCCTCCCTGTACCCTCCTGCCCCTCCCAGTACCTGCCTGCCCCTCCCTGTACCCTGCTGCCCCTCCCAGTACCTTCCTGCCCCTCCCAGTACCCTTCTGCCCCTCCCAGTACCTTCCTGCCCCCTCCCAGTACCTTCCTGCCCCTCCCAGTACCCTCCTGCCCCTCCCAGTACCCTCCTGCCCCTCCCAGTACCCTCCTGCCCCTCCCAGTACCCTCCTGCCCCTCCCAGTACCCTCCTGCCCCTCCCTGTACCCTCCTGCCCCTCCCAGTACCTGCCTGCCCCTCCCTGTACCCTGCTGCCCCTCCCAGTACCCTCCTGCCCCTCCCTGTACCCTTCTACCCCTCCCAGTACCTTCCTGCCCCTCCCAGTACCTTCCTGCCCCTCCCAGTACCCTCCTGCCCCTCCCAGTACCCTCCTGCCCCTCCCTGTACCCTCCTGCCCCTCCCAGTACCCGCCTGCCCCTCCCAGTACCCTCCTGCCCCTCCCAGTACCCTCCTGCCCCTCCCAGTACCCTCCTACCCCTCCCAGTACCTTCCTGCCCCTCCCAGTACCTTCCTGCCCCTCCCAGTACCCTCCTGCCCCTCCCAGTACCCTCCTGCCCCTCCCAGTACCCTCCTGCCCCTCCCAGTACCCGCCTGCCCCTCCCAGTACCCTCCTGCCCCTCCCAGTACCCTCCTGCCCCTCCCAGTACCCTCCTGCCCCTCCCAGTACCTTCCTGCCCCTCCCAGTACCTTCCTGCCCCTCCCAGTACCCTCCTGCCCCTCCCAGTACCCTCCTGCCCCTCCCAGTACCCTCCTGCCCCTCCCAGTACCCTCCTGCCCCTCCCAGTACCCTCCTGCCCCTCCCAGTACCCTCCTGCCCCTCCCAGTACCCTCCTGCCCCTCCCAGTACCTTCCTGCCCCTCCCAGTACCTGCCCGCCCCTCCCTGTACCCTCCTGCCCCTCCCAGTACCCTCCTGCCCCTCCCAGTACCTGCCTGCCCCTCCCTGTACCCTCCTGCCCCTCCCAGTACCTTCCTGCCCCTCCCAGTACCCTTCTGCCCCTCCCAGTACCTTCCTGCCCCCTCCCAGTACCTTCCTGCCCCTCCCAGTACCCTCCTGCCCCTCCCAGTACCCTCCTGCCCCTCACAGTACCCTCCTGCCCCTCCCTGTACCCTCCTGCCCCTCCCAGTACCCTCCTGCCCCTCCCAGTACCCTCCTGCCCCTCCCAGTACCCTCCTGCCCCTCCCAGTACCTTCCTGCCCCTCTCAGTACCCTCCTGCCCCTCCCAGTACCTTTCTGCCTCTCCCA